TTTATACAAGTAGAGGAGTGTGAGGTTTGTTCTCCCAAGCAATGTGGGACTAAAACCCACTACAATACACTATTATCAACAGCCCCCTTCAAACTCATGTTGGATCAAACAAAGTGAGTTTGCGTACAAGAAACTGGAACCGATGAACAGGTAAGGCCTTTGTGAAGAAATCTGCAAGCTCGTCAGCGGATGAAACATGAGGAAGTAGAATTGTCTTGTCCTTGATAACTTGGTGACGGACAAAATGAGCGTCGATCTCAATATGTTTGGTCCTTTCATGAAATACTGGATTATTAGCAATCTGGATGGCACTCTTATTATCACAGTAGAGAGGAGTAGGAGTCGTAACAGAAATACCGAAATCACTGAGAAGGCGACGAAGATGAATAATCTCTTTAGCTGTTGTGGACATTGCACGATACTCTGCCTCAGTACTGGAAAGAGCAATAACATCTTGTTTCTTACTTCGCCAGGAAATAAGGGAATCACCAAGAAATATACAATAACCTGTGGTAGACTTTCTGGTAGTTGGATCACCAGCCCAATCAGCATCAGAATATGCACAAAGCTCTAACTTAGATGTAGCAGGAAACAAAAGTGAGCGAGTGCTAGTACCCCGGAGGTACCGAAGAATCCGTAATAAGACAGCATAGTGTACAGAACGTGGGGCACTAACAAATTGACTGACAATACCAACAGCATGAGAGATATCTGGTCGAGAGATGCACAAATAGACCAACTGACCAACAAGATGTCGATATCGGGTAGGATCAGATAGAGGCTCACCGTCAGTAGAGCAAAGTTTGACATTCTGCTGGAGTGGAGTATCGACAGTTGTATTATCAGTTAACTCAGCTTGATTTAGAATATCTGAGAGATACTTCTGTTGAGACAGTAATACACCCCGCGGGCCTTGAGAAATTTCTAGACCAAGGAAATACCGAAGAGATCCAAGATCCTTCATGTGGAACTGTTGTTGCAACTGAGATTTTGCGTATTGTATACCTGTCATATCATCACCTGTAATGATCATATCATCTACATAGATGAGTAATAAAACCCTGCCACGCGATGTAGTGCGAACAAACAGAGAAGCATCTTGATGACTTTCTATAAAGCCCGCTTTGAGCACAACATCGCGAAAACACTCAAACCAAGCGCGGGGTGCCTGTTTGAGACCATAAACAGCACGACGAAGGAGACATACATGTCCCGGAGGAATATTTGACCCTGGAGGCGGTTGCATATATACGGTCTCTGATAAAGAGCCATGAAGAAAAGCATTTTTGACATCCATCTGGTATAAGGGCCAACGATGAGCAGCAGCGACCGCAAGGAGAGTACGCACAGTGGGCATCTGAGCAACAGGAGCAAAGGTCTCCTCATAATCAATACCTTGTTGCTGAGTAAAACCTCTAGCCACTAAACGAGCTTTTCGACGTTCAATGGTGCCATCAGGACGAAACTTGACCTTATAAACCCATTTACTGCCAACAAGAGAGATCCCAGGAGGACAGGGAACAATATCCCAGGTATGAGTTTGCTGAAATGCTTGAAATTCCTCAGCCATAGCTTGTCGCCACTCTGGAATTTGAACTGCCTCTTGGAAGGACTTTGGCTCAACAATAGTATGAATGGCAGCAAGAAAGTTATGAAAGATAGGTGAATAAGAAGTAACAGAAGCATACCGGGCAGGCATGACATGTGGGCGTTTGCCTCGACGAAGAGCAAGAGGAACCTCAGGCGGGGGAGATGCTGGCGCAGGTGCATGAAGATCAACAGTATTTTCTGGAGTGAGAGTTGTGTCCACAGGATATGGATTAGATGGTGTAAGAGAAGACTCAGGTGAGGAAGAGTCAACAGAAGGAGAGGGAGAGATGTCAGGGAGATCTCGAAAGGAAAATTGAGGTGAAGAAGTGGGTGATGCAGTGGACGGGGAAGCATGATCGGTAGAGTGGAGGAAATTAAAGTCATCAGAAGTAGAATAATATGGAGAATCCTCTTCGAACTGAACATGACGAGATATATGAACTCGACGAGTTGCGGGATCATAACAACGATAACCTCGATGTTCTGAACTAATTCCTAAATAAACACAAGAAACTGCTCTGGGAGACAATTTATCACGTTCGTGAGATGGCAGAAAAACAAAACATCGACAACCAAAAACGCGAACTAGATCATAACGGGGAGGATGAGTATAAACACGACTATAAGGAGTAGCACCGGAAAGAGAGCTAGATGGAGTGATATTAATGGCATGAGTCGCGGTGAGAATAGCCTCAGCCCAGAAACGACGAGGAACAGAGTAAGAAATGAGCATTGATCGGGCAGTATCGAGGATATGACGATGTTTGCGTTCAGCAACACCATTTTGCTCATGAGTGTAGGGACATGACTGTTGAAAGATAGTCCCATGAGAGGACATGATAGAGCGCATGGCAGAGGATAGGTACTCTTTGGCACAATCAGAACGAAAAACTTTAATACGAGATTGCCATTGAGTGAAAATCATAGCAGTGAAGGCTTGATAAGCAGTAAGTACGTCAGAGCGATTCTTAAGTAGGTAAACCCATGTAAAACGAGAGAAATCGTCGATAAAACTAACATAATATAAGTAGCCAGATGAAGAAGGCAAAGGAGCTGGCCCCCAAATATCAGAATGTACTAAATCAAATAAGGAAGTGGATACAGATGTACTCATTTTAAATGGTAAAGCAGTGAATTTAGCCAATTTGCAACCAGCACATGACTCAATACTAGAACTAGATGATACAGGACCAAGTACTCCAGACTGAATAAGACTCTCCAGCCTTTTATTACACACATGACCAAGTCGTCTATGCCATAAATTGGCAGGAAGCGAGGTAGAGGGTTTTGACGAACAAAGAGAAGCAACAAGAGAACGTGGACGTATGGACTCTGGAAGGTGAAGATATTCCAGAAAATACAGTTTGTGCCTCCTACGACCCGCCCCAACCGTCTTGCCCGTCTGTGGATCCTGCACAATACAAGTATCAGAAGAAAATGAGACAAACAGGCCCGCCATGCATAAAGAGCTAATAGAAATTAAATTCAAGCACAATTGTGGAGCCACATAGACGGGACCAAGTGTTAGACGACCAGATGGATCATTTTGTGGGGTAATAGAGCCATACTGAGTAATGGACAATGGTTGTCCAGCAGCTGTGTAGATAGGAGGAAGAGAGGATGAAGTAAAGACAGAGGATAAAAGTGAGGCATTACAAGTCATATGAAAGGAACAACCAGAGTCAAAAATCCAGAGATCATTCATACCAGAGACTGAAGGATTAGCTGAAGAACCAGCAAAATACATACCAGAGAGTTGTGCGGCGGATGTAGAGGTGATATGTTGAAAAGCATCAAGTTGACGGCGAAGACTTTCAATAGCTTGAATAGTAGAGTCTGAAGTAGTAGAAGGTATAGCATTGGCCAACAATCCTGGTGTACGAGAGGGTTGAGACTGAGGGGGTCGCCGACCACGTCCAGTACCTGAGGAACGTAACTCAGGATGAAGCTTGAAGCATGTCTCAATGCGGTGTCCTTCCTTCTTACAATATTTGCAAGAGAGCTTAGATCGAGCCTGTGGAGAGGGAGCCTGTGGAGAAGTATAATTCATAACAGGAGCAGTGACAGGTACAGACAAAACAGTCTCGAGTGAAGAGGTAGGAGTGTCTGTTGACAAATTGAGTCGTGCTGTCTGCTGCCGGGTCTCATAAGCAGTGAGAGCTCCCATAACTGAGGCCAAAGTCGGAAATTGAGGCTGGTGAAGTAGTTGATCAGCCATAGTTGAATATTCAGGAAGGGACTGAAACAATTGATGCACCTCATGCCGTTCGTACCAGGCTAGCCAGTCTTCATATGTGGAATTACGTCCAGGAAGCATGGAGCGTAACTCTGTCCAAAAAGCTTGCATTTGTCCAAAATGGGACTGCAGAGATGAACTACCTTTGCGTTGTAGAGAAATGCGTTGCAGAAGATATGCCTCCCGTGCACCCGAGCACTCAGTGAAACGCTCAGTGAGACGAGTCCACATGGCCTGAGCAGAGGGAAGCGAGCCAATCTCGACAGTGAGACCAGAGCCAACACAGCGAGTGAGATAATCCATAACACGAAATTCCTGCAATTGCCACTCTGAACTCTCCTTGACATAGAGAGCACGAGCAGTCTGAAGATCGACATCACCACTGCCAGAGGCAATAGTACTGGATGAAGCAACAGTGCTGATGGACGGTGGAACTGGTCCCGTACTGGTGAGATGATCAAGCAAACCAGCGCCACGCAAGGCATTGGTGACAATGGTGGACCACCCTGCCCAGTCACTTTGATCATTGAGGGGCAAAGGTGGTTTGGGAATCTTCTCTGAAGGAGCCATAACAGCAATCTTGAGACGTTAAGATGTCGAGATGCTGTTACTAATGTCGTTCGTTTGAGGCCGAGAGACGGCTTGAAACGACGATGCCGTTAATTTGAGACCGAGAGACGGTCTTGAAACGACAATGCCGTTAAAATAGAACCCGAAGGTTAGAATGAAACCCGAAGGTTTAAAATAGAACCCGAAGGTTAGAATGAAACCCGAAGGTTTAAAATAGAACCCGAAGGTTAGAATGAAACCCGAAGGTTTAAAATAGAACCCGAAGGTTAAACGAGAACGCGAAACGCGTTAAGAGGCCGCAAAACGACAAGGCCAAAATATCTGGCAGATGAACGCCAAATAATTAAAAATAAAAATAAAACATTAAACGGCTGCAAAGCAATAAGGCCAAGATTTGGCAAAAGAACGCAAAAGCGTTAAAAATTTTATTGAAAGGGAAATAGCCCTAGCTCTGATACCATGTTAAAGTAAGAGAGAGAGAGAGAGAATCTTGGGTAAATTTCCCTTGAATTGAATATTGAGTGTGCACATATATTTATACAAGTAGAGGAGTGTGAGGTTTGTTCTCCCAAGCAATGTGGGACTAAAACCCACTACAATACACTATTATCAACAATGCATATGCTCATTCACGAAAATATTCAGTGGATCAAGTCCGTTGCTGGTTTTAGGGACCAAGAGTAACAATCAAGATTTTGCAAGCAAGTTACAAACAGTCGCAGGAACTGCGGTGACTTGAATCGACAAAGCCTCTAAGCGGTTTCAATCAGGGAAAGAAAAGCTGCCAAGAACCAATTATCGGCAACGGTTTTCAAATTTCCTATACAGATATTATCAGTCCTTGCCAGTTAATTTGTCCTATAATCTGAATATCACAAAAAAAAGAACATACAAAGTGGTAGAAAGCACACCAGTTGGATAAGTTGCAGTCTATACACCAGGGCCAGTTCCTTGTGGTTGATCAGTACTGACGATGGTCACTGCAGTAGCATCTTCCATGGGCACATCCGATGTTGCTTTGGTCTCCACAACGTCTACTGGAGTTGAAGTCTGCATGGTTGTAGGCTCCTTGGGAGGTTGAGGAGATACGCTATTCATCTCATCTGCGTTAATATCCATCAGTTTGCGGTGTTTTCGGGTTTTCTGAGATGCCATATTGAAATCATTGGAAGATGCTGGAGAAGGATCATTAGGTGAAGGAGCTTTCGGGTCCAGAGATGCTGATAGTCTGGAAGTCTGCAGTGCTTGTAGTCTGTAATCAGTTTCTGGTCGCCTACAGACTTTTCTTAGTGGTACTATTTCCTGTTGTTACATGAATGAATATCAGTTCAAAGTGAACCAATAAAATAAGAAGAAATGTGAAGAAACTTAGTATTATCAGTGAAGTCAATAACCTCAACAAAATTTTCCCCAAAAAAAGGAAAAGAAATAAAAAAACTGAATGTTCCCACCAATTTAACTGTCTGTTTCATGTTTAGATGGACATAAGGGATACTAAATTAATAAAATTTGACCGGGCCAAGTCAGATTTGTTGATAAAACAGGAAAAAAGCACCCTTGCGAATAAGGGAAAACCCGTGTTTCCTTTAGATATGGGCACAGGTATGAAGCCTCCCTGGAGAGTAGAGTTACAAAGGATTACTTGGCTATAAATAACGGGCATTCAAGGGACCATATCCATCAAACTGTCCTCAGGAATTATATCACAAAAGCAGCTGTGAAGATTTGAATTTGAGTTCCCAAAGCAACAGCAGGCTCTAACATCAGAGACAGAAAACTATGCCAATGTCATTGAACAGCGACTGACAAACCTGACATGAGGTAATTAAGCAATGTGATGAAGGAAAGGTATCAGAGCACATACCTGGCAGGAGTAATAAAACAATATGATGAAGGAAAAGTATTACAACATGGCTGCTACGACAAGCTCATACTATGACACAGAGCACAATGATGGAATAATAAAAGTATCGGTTTGTCAATGGTAATGGGATGTCAACTGCAATTTCAAAGGAAATTTGAAATGAGTTGACTTGGTGGAGAAACCAGTCTTTTGAATACATTGAAGTCGATTACTGTTGAATTGTTTATACATAATGTTGCAGGAAATAGATAGCAATATCGTTGATAGCAATGTCAAAATAATGAATGCCGAAGAGGAAGTTGTCATTCATTCAGGCAGCAGCAGCAGTGTTTGTTGCTGGTGCAAAAGAGGTGGGAGGCAAGTCCATATTAATGACAGGAAGAGGCGCCATTAACCCAAAAAACAGCCGTTTGTCTATGTAGCATGGACACTGTTACTGGTGTTGTGTCAAACACGCACTGGCATAATGTTTACTGTATTGTTTCATGTCATCTTGCAATTACAAACTTCAGACTTCCTGCATCCAGAAACAACTTTGGTTTTGTGGTGTTTTCAGTACATTTTGTGTGTGGTCACAGTGTCAGTGATAATGTTGGTATGTCTTATCCATGCTTCATCATCAGACTAAGTTTTCCAAAGCGACAGAGTCGAGAGATGGCGATCCACAAAACATCCATACACACCCTTATGGCATTATTGCCATGGAAGTTCACTAATAATCAATTTTCATGTTCAAGTCCCGAAAGAAAATGAAAAGAGAACGAAATACTGTTGCATATATTTTTCTACTTGTGATAAGCTAATGGTAAAAGTATGTTTGATCAAAGCAAAACCAAAGACAAAGATTGTTTTAACTTTTAATCTCATATTCCAAGCTAAAGCATGCCCAAAAATGAAACAGAAAAAACGCCAAAAGAGATTACCTCAGACTGATCATGATCATAGCGAACTAGGAACCTACATCGACATCCACGAACATCATGTCTTCGCCTTTGCGCATCAAGTACATGTGCATCAAAATAGAGAGCTTGTTCCTTACCCTCCTGATATGATCTCAGTGAGGAAACAGATCCATCAGTACAGAAAATATAAAAAAGAAACATGATCAGAGGTGGAACAGAACAGTAAACTGCAAATCAGATGCTTACCTCTGAAAAAAAATTCAGATAGTATACAAGCTCTACATCAGTTCCGAAGCAGAGACAGGAAAACACAATCTTACGACTACTGGTACTCAAAAGATGATATCTTTTGATGCATCTAAAGTGACCAATGAATCTCTACTTGATCCTTCTCTATCTCAGCAAACTATTATATATCTTCTCTCATACTCGGTTTCAATTTTCTTTTATAAATTATCGTAACCTCCAGGTTTAGAACTCACCAGTCACCACCACTTCAGCTTTTTTAAGCTTTCCTATGGTGGTCTATATTTTCCGAAGTCCCATCATCTCTAGACTATAATCTTTCTTTATAAGATGACATGTCTGTTTTTCCTTTTGATTTCATCATCCTCTCATTAGTGCTGTTTAGTTAGTATACTACCTCCAGATTCTTCAAGCATAAACACTACGAGTATTAATCACATGTTTCCTAGTACAAGCTTTATTATTTCCTTGCTTTGACTTAATTAAAATGTGAAAGAGGTTCCCTTTCAATATTATATCCACAAACATCCCGTCCTAATATAAATTTCTTTCTCCCACAATATAACAAAATTTTATATCTGTAACTCTTCTCAATCTCTCTAAGCGTCTTACCCGCTTAGTTTCACACAAGCTATATTTCTTTATTCCAAAGTTTAAGCATTGCACTTGCATCGCAATTCGCAAGTTGGACGAAAATAATTACAAAATATTCTCGCATTTTTTTCAAGGGCATGAAAATTATACTAATATATTCAATACAAACATGGATAAGAGTAACATATCTTTCAGGTATTAATTGTTTGGAAGTATTCAAACGTTAAAAAGGTACTCTCAAGTTTCCAAAAAGTAAGACTAAGCAAGCAGCTAAGACCTAGGCTCTAGCCATGCATCAATGGTTTAGAATTTTAAATTTAATGACATAAGAAAATGTGAAATGAAGGAAATTCAGGAACTAATTGAAATAATGAGGCACAAGTTACAATGAAATATAATAAGATGCATAAACTTCTGGGCTGTGGTATTAGCCCAAAACAAATCCACCCAAACCTGAATAAATTTGACCGCATTCAAAAAATAAAACGATACTCTCAAGTTTCCACAAAGTAGGACTAAGAAACAGCTAACACCTGGACTCTAGAACAGCAGCAACAGTTTAGAATATATAAAGATGTACAACAAAATAGTTTTTTTATTTGTTATCTTTATTTTTTTTATTTTTTTGCCATGAATCAACAATTCGATTACTAGAGTTTTGTTCACCAAATATAGTAGGCTACATAAACTTCTAGGCTGCAATCTTAACCTAGGATAAATCTACCCAGACCTGAATATATTGATTTGATCTTGTTTTTAACTTCCTCCCTTCGTGCCTGAGTTGGCACATAATGCCATGAAACCACCTCCAACAGGTACGGCAAGTGGGTCGTAATTAGCTGACACCACGAAGACCACACTTAGGCTGCAGCCCTAGGCCACCTTTTGTGGTGTTGGAAGTGAATATAACATAGCTAGGGACACAAGGGAATAATACTTAACAGAATAATAGACTTCACATTCTGTGAGTCACTCCTGACATGTATTCGTTAGCAATAACTCCTGATGAGCAGTTTATTTTATGCATAATTACCCTTAGAGAGAGCAGAACCTTGATCTTGAGAAAAAGCTTGAAAGAACAGCATTTAGCTAGCATCAGTAGATTCAAGTTCAGTCTCAAAAGAGCAATTGCATCACAAAAGAAACAAGTTTGGCTTCTAAAGAAATATTGATTGCAGAAATTATATTTTCTCTCTAATGGAACACTTGGCATATGTTATAATCAAAGAAAGACTTCAATGAAACCAGTGATTTCGGTTCAGATGAGTTCAAACCAAAGGGGAAGGCTCAAAGAAAAATAGAATAGAGTAGATGACAGCTGAAAGCAGAGTATAAACTCTCCAGGAAGTACACACCTGAAAACAAAGTATAAGATCTCCAGGAAGTACTGCAACACACTCTGCATTTTCACAGGGAAGAGATCGTTGTCTGACACATTTCCGCACATTAACCCACTCATCCTCTTCGACACCAAAGCCTGAGAATCGAACCAGAACTTCCTGCGACAAACAGCAAGTGCTGAACATAAATATGTAACCCACTTATTTGGGACAATATTTAATTTTAAGCAGTCTTTTAAATATCGGTCAATAAACCAATATCATCGGCGATTTATCAGTTTTGGGGCCCTTCCGCTATGAAAAGTTCTATTTTAAATAGGTTATCATTTATGGATATTTATCGGCGATAATGCGGCGATAAAGTGAGTTATCAAAATATCGGAACTATCGGCCTTTTGTTTGGGTTTAGGTTTGCTCTTTGAATGTTTAAGAATTATAAACTATTTGTTGCTTTTGGAACTTGGTTGTTTGGTGATTAGCTTATGATTGTTTATGAATATTGACATGGCTCATAACTACTAAATTTCAACTTAGTAAGTTAGTTTATAATCTCGTGATTACACAATAAATATGTTGATAATTCTTCATTCTTTATGTTATCTTGTTATTTGCTTGTATGTTATTCTTTTTGTACTAACTATGCACTCGAATGGTTTCATCGTGCGATCAAGAACCAAGTTTTTATCATTGGTTAGTGATCCTAAACATGATTATTTACATTTTGGTATGTTTATATTTCATTAAGTATGGTTAGATTATATTTTAGGATATTGTAATATGTATATACACTATTTGGTAATATCACTCTGACAAATACTACTTATCCCCGATATATCCCAATATTCGCTATGCGATATGGATTTTTGACCGTCAAATAAATCCCCGATAACCGATATTTAAAACCTTGGGAACAGAGTATAAATTGATTACGATGCCCTATGACAAGTTCAGTAAAAATTTCTTAATATTCATTTTCCTCATACATGACTGTGAACAAAATCTCAAGTGAAATAAAAACATATATAACTATGCTACTAAAAGTTCGTCCTGGCAGAGGCTTTCCCTCAGAGGATATAAGCTCATACAACACTTGTCGCAGAATTTATGCTTAAAAGCACATGAACTTTTTTTTTCCATGTGTTAGAAACTTCCTTTGACCATATTTTAGGCAAGAGACTTTGAGATCATTACCGGATCACCTGTCTCAAACATTCTATGCGAGAGAAAGACTGCAACATCATACCTGCAGTCCAAGAATAATCAGCAAATTTAGCAGTTAAGACATCTAGAAACAAGACTAGAACGGCATGCCATTTTATAAGATACAGTCCAATATGGTTCCTGAATTTTGTGGAAAGCATACATAAAACAGGAAAATATTATCTATGGCAATAGAAATTAACTCAGTAGAATCTTCCTAACAAGAGATAGAGAGGTTAACGTCTAACACTAATTTTTTAAAGTGCCTTGCACGAAACTAATAAGATTTGAATCGGAAAACCCATTATGGAAGAAAGTGATGCCCTTTTTCAGATTTGCTTAATTCATAAGGATCTCCTCCATTGACATCTAAACTAGGAATTTCAAGATTAGAGAGCATGCCTATACCCCTTCCACACCGTTATTGTAAAAAGGACGGATATGAAAAGATATTGATATTTCAAAACAACGTACGTCCACCGTCTTTCATGAAAAATTATCCAAAATATACTTTCCCAAACCCAAGGTCCAGGCCTCCTGTCATCTAAAATCTTGAAAGAAAACAAACTAGCCTTTTTTACAAGCTTCATTTAAAATCTCTGATGCTTTATTCATGATATCATGTAGGTACCACCCACAGGACCAAACCAAGGTATTTCAATTATGTCCTTAAACACAAATCAGTGAAATGGTTGTCTGCTGAGGACCAACGATTTGCTGAACTTAAGAAAGTAAAAATTTGATGAAAAGAAATATAAGTATTATTGCATGTCCAGAGAAATCAAGGCCCGAAAGATTGCAAATTAGAAATTCTTCCTTTCATCCGTATGAATCATAGAAACTCCTTTTCCTAAGGGACATCAGAAATATTGGAGATGTTGCAGACAAAAAGGTTCCCTTCATTGAGATGGTGATTGTAGACGACCTTATTCAGATTTTTCTATAGTGCTGGAATAGGTTAAGGGAAAAACAATCAATCACTCACTCGGAGGTATTAAGTACTTCATGAATGTTTAATTACCATAAACACTACTGGATATCATTCAACAACTTCAGCCATCCCATGGTGAACTCCACTCTTCATATAGGCTTATCATTGCTGAGAACTTCATTCTATGCATCATGTGTCAATGCTTCGGAAAAATGTAAAGCAAAGAAGAATTCATCACTCAGCTTGGCGCTGCAAGTAACACGAAATCATAATTCAATTACGAGAAGAATCATTTACTCGTCCCATAATCCTCAGTCATCCCATGAATAACTGCATTCTTCATGTGGACACAGCATTGCAAGGAAATGTTCCTTTAAATTCGTGGTCAAAACCAACCAGAGTCTCTTGGTACTAACAAATGATAGTGCGACAATATCTGAAGATATAATAGGTACCACTTGATGGTAGAAGTGATTTGCCTTTTAGCAGCTTAATAGGAAACCTTTATCAGAACCAATGCTTCAAGAAGGTAACTTGATTTTTTGACTAAACTACTACGAATACAATCATAGGGTTCCTATCATCCCTTAATGAACTGCACTCTTTGATCGGAATTAAAATTCGAAAACAGCATGCATGCATCCTTTACCTGAAATTGACCAGCATTTGCTAATGATTAATGTATTTCTCATGTCTTACAAAATAACGTGTGCATCTTTAACTAAGCTTTGGGATGTGGGAGCAACTTGCTGAAATTCTGCAGACAACGTATCAATGGGATTAAGTAGCAAGCAAGAAAAGGATAATACTTGAAAAAATATAAGATTTATTCAACGTATCTGTGTAGGAGCCCGTTAACTGGAAAAACGATGAAACAAACAAACATAAGGCTTTGGTTTTTGCATGAAAACGTGAAAACCAAGACACAGACGTACTGAATTATACGAAAAAGAGCACAGAACATGCAGTATTCTGGTAGACAGCTTGTGACAAAGAATTTGTGACCGGAACAAGAAAGAACTGTCACTTACCACGCACCATCCCTAGCTGATTTTGCTTCGAACTCCACTTGAGCATTATCCGAGGGATTTCTTCCTGTATTTCAAATTGCAAAGTTTTAATGTTCTTCAAGGGCAATTAAAAAGAAGTATTGAAGTAAAGAAGCAATCTTATCAAATTGCATCAAAATACAGAAAACAAAATATTTATTCCATGAAGAACACAGACCTGGCATGTTCATTAAATGGCTTCCTTCATATTTACATAATTCTTTTTCAGATTTACATAATTCCTTTTTTATTTAAGAAAATTCAGAAAAGTATTCAGAACATCCAAAAGATTAGTTGCTGCATCTCATAATAATAACAATAAAAATAATAAATAGCAGGCAAATTTCAACATTGTCACAAGCTTGACCAATAATAATATTAAGAATATACAATGATACAAACACAATTGTGGTCCAAATTTTCATCAAATTAAATAGGTTTCCGAGCTTAGTGCATGACAGTTATCAGCCAGCAGTCAAAAGAAGTTTTTATATAAACATAATTGTGGTCCAAATATCACCAATGAGAAGTCTGAACAATAGATCGACATTTGACAAGGTAAGAGCAACGCAGAAAGTAAGTAAACTTGAAGGATTATTGTACTGGGATTAGACAATAGTTTAATTTAAAAATAAACCTGGTGGAGCAGAAATAGGAGGAGCTACATTTCTGAAGGCAGCTGAATCTTCCCGGGGCATAGGTGAAACACTTAGCTTTCCAGGAGCCTTGCCCAATTTCGCCCTTTGGGCATACCTTCTATTCTGAAACCAGTTCCAGACCTGTGTGGATAGCCAAAATAAACAGGAGTTTCAAAGCAAAATATTCTGGATAGAACTAATCAGAATGCTCTTAACCTGTTTTGGCTGTACAACAAACTTCCCAAATCGATCTGGCGATGCACTTCAAGAAGATAAGAACAAAAGCATTAATTTTCTTCTGATCAGTGTTGCAAAAACGCATGCACATCAATGCAAATATTCGCATGTTAACCACTTAATGTACATCCCATACCTGAACTTTTCTGCAAGGGAGCAGATTACTTCTCGAGAAGGTACTGTATTATGTACTTCTTGCAAGCATGCTTCCATTTCTACTACCTTTAAGTGAACCATCACAAGCTCATAACATACCATAGTAATCATAGTTATTAGTTCAGTAAGAAAATCCTAATAAGTATATAATTCATTGGTTTGTTAGGAACATAATACAAAGCAACTAGCAAGGAATGTTTCCACATTTACAACCATAAATAACAGATGATAATCCGGTCTAAGCAACATTTTCAAAAATGACATTTAAATATAGTCCACTAATTACTTAAAACAATTGCAAGTTCAAATTAAAAACTTAAGTAAACTACATAAAAATTTATCTGAAAACAATGGCTTTGTAACTCATTAATCCCAAGTCTCAGAGTATATTACTAGACGCATGCAGCATGCCTCTCCTTTGAGTAAATCAAGATTAAGAAAACCCAAATTTTCCTTAAAAATCAGAAATCGCATCTATAAGATAATCTCCAAGCTCCAAATCCATACAAATTCCAGCAATTTAACAGTTATCAACTAACTAAACACCCAACTAGGAACCAAAAAGGACGCTATAGAGTCAGAATCAAAGACCAAGACCCTAAAATTTTCAAAAAGGCGTAAAAATCACAAATTTGCCACCATAAACTCGTGTGCAAGATCAAATGCAGAAAAATTTGACATCACATTGCGAAAAGGGCAACTCGGAATGGAAATTAAAACCCTAATTTCTCGGAAGATTAAGAAATAAGACATGAGCTCGAGGCCGGAATCTAGGGTTCCGATCGGAGGTTACCTCGTTCTGCGTGAAGCGGAAGGCCGGGCCTCCGGTGCTCGGCGGTCGGCCCATTTAAGAGATCGATCGCTGGAGAGAGAGAAGTGACGAATATCTTCAACGGCTCTCTCCTCGTCCCTATTTTTCCTCTTTTCCCCTTTTGGGATGCTGTTTTTGTTTTTGCCCCCTCGTTTTATACTGCGAAATTGACATCGTCATCTCCGCTCACGTGATTTACAGTGGGCCTAGGGCTGGGCCCAGTTCAAACGAAATCCTTATATATTGTTGCAATTTTTTTTTTAAAGAAGAACAGCAGTAAAAACTTGAGAATTTCGTATATGTAATTAATATAGATTTTTCTCACTGAAAAAATTGAGCCGCCAGGAATTTTTGTCAAAAAGTGAGAGATACATACAAAAGGCAAAAATTCGGAGAAGGTCTTTATGTATTGTCCAAATATCATCTGGTTATTTATGTTTAGAAAAGCATCATTAACCTAGGTTTATTTCACAAACTTATGTTAACTCTCATTGATATGTCAATGATGTGGCGGGAAAAGGTGTTAGTGAAATTACACGCTTCCACTGTCATGTCACTGACATGTCAGCGAGATGTAATGATGTTTGTAAAAAGGACCTAGGATAATGACAAATGTAATGTGGGGGACCCTCGTCAATGTCTCACAATTTATAAATCATAAAGAACACAAATGATATTCAACTAAGACATAAGAAATCTCCACTAAAATTTTCCTTATAATTCATTTAACAAACAACTTCCTACTTAACTAGTTAGCACTGATGGTTCGACATATATCAATTTTAATTACATTCACAAGTGTCAGCATGCTTATGATAACAATATTATCAATAATTTCTTAGTCATAACTGTTAGAACCTAAACTTATAATTTCTAGAGTTTCGGTGCAATGGCGGAGGCTTTAAGATGATATCAGAGCAACCTTAGTTCACAACCTGCTAGCAGAGATATAAAAGTTGATACTGCTGCGAAAGTCCAAGTTTCTGAAATTTACATTGAGGGTCATAATTTTTATTCTTTAACAGTAACATGTTAAAACTAAGCTCTCTAGGAAACTCATACTCTGCTTGTTGGTCACCCTGCAGTAATAAATCAAGGCTGCAGTTACCTTTCATTTTCTCAACAACTCAAAGCAGCAGCATGCATTACATACTCTCAAATTTGCAACAGGCAGCAAACAGACACAAATTTTGAAACACAGCGGTAGCGGTACTAATTATTCTTAATAAGACTCTCTGAAAACAGTTTAGCCCACAACATCTTGTGCGGCCTGTAAAGTTTGCATCCATGGCGATCAACACCTCAGCGGTGAGCATTTGGAGGAGCGCCATGGCCGATACTGGGCCCACGGCCTGGATTTGTAGGAAGAAAGGAATTGACTTGTTCTTGAGTGAGAAGACGCCGCTCTGGGATTCTTGTTGCTTGAACTGGAGAAAGAAGTTGCATCACAATGAGAAGAGGTAGAAAAATTGCAAAAACAAGAGTGACAGTTTTAGTGTATGTAGCCATGGAATATATTCTTGCTTGAGAACTTGTGTGGGAGGAACTGAGAGGCCTCCTCTTGCTTAAATACTAGAGCTTAGTGAAGCAAAAAAGATTGAATATTATTCTGAACAGACCCTTTTTTTTTTTTTTTTTGGTTGCCCTCTTAACAAAAAGTACAATGATGCGGTCATGAAGAAGTATTTTCCACACAAAGAACTTGACATGTTTCGCGTTGGCCACAAATGAAATGTTGAAGAATCGGAACTGAGGAACATAATTGCTTTCTTAGAGTTAGTTTAGGAGGAAAGCAAAGGAGAATACTTGCTAATGGTTTCTTTATTGTATTTTAAGTACATTCAACAAAAGCTAGCCCTTGAACAGATTGATCAGCAAAATGATTATGATTATTCTAGTAAGTGTCCCATGATAGTGCAAGCATAAGCCAAATACAACCATCAATTAAAAGCTTTTGGGCCAGCAAGAGAGAATATTTACATATAGAAGCGAATTAAAATGGTATAAACTAACATGCCCTCATTAGAATAATTAATTAAGATAACATCAACCTTTGAAGGGTTGTTATACCCTAGAAATTACCAAGTATTATAGACAGCCAAAAGTCAGGTGTGTATCATGATTAACTGACCAAGTCCGAAAAACCCGAAAGTATGACCCGAATATAGACCTTGTTGATATCTCTTATCTGACCTGGGTCTGGGTCTGAGTCGAAAGACGTCTTCAAGTAAGTTTTACCATATGGGCCCAAAATGAAAGGTGTCTTCTACTCAAGCTTGTTAGAGAATGTCTCGAATAACGAGATAACCTATCAACTTCAATAGTCATATTTCGCCGCTTAGTTGCCCTCACATTTAATTTTGGGTCAAAGTCATCATAACTCTTCAAACCAAAGTAATGACTCATCGGACTATGTCAGCACATCAGCAGCTCTGTCTTTGTCACATTAAACACAAAAATGACACATTCACCAATGACTGATACGCGTAAAGCACTGTCTGATTAGCCAACTTCACCGACCCGGTCAAATTACCAAAATGTCATTCCCATCATCCTACAAATAGTGGTCATCTCCATTTAATAAAGGTAAGGCAATTTATGCACAAAAACCCTAAAGACTACACTCTTCTCTTCTCTTCTCTTTAGATTATCAGTTGCTGAATTGAGCATCTGAGAGCACTCCAGGAGAAACAACATCCGGAGCCTCTAACCGCTGTTACCTGTGCAGGGAATTGCGGCTCAACATCTCCTTCAAAGCCATAAGCCATTAGAAGGGATTAAGGGACCCCAAAATTGTCCTTACCTCACCTAAATATCATAATTAATTATCTAACATAAACAGTTTTTGGCGCCCACCGTGAGACATCTTCTTCTTCTTTAGAGAAAATGGTTGATCTTCGGTTCCAAACTATGGACTAACATCCAACTCTGGCTATGCCATTCAAGCCCAATTGGATGGATCCACCAAAAGAATTGCTCAAACTCTCTAGCAGTGGTTCGCTTCATTCACAAACGAACTACTCAGCCGCATTATTCAATCTTTGTCTCCTCTGTCGCCTGTTATCCCTCTATACGAAAGGTGGCCCTACCAACAGGAGTAAGAAGAGTGGATCAGGAAAATTACCTCCCAACTGTCGGAGCCACATCTTGGCAGACAAAAAAATTAAAGAGTAGAGAATGCCTTAAGAGAATGCTACAACACATCCAAAGTCCTGGTATCAGTTCTTAGAGTAAACCCAAGGTACAGTGAAAAGTCCTTGTGACCCAGTCTCGGTCTTCACCAACCCATCCAAGGAATCCTCAAAGCCCTTGATATTAAACTAATAGGTCTTCAAAAAATCCAAGAATGGACCACAAAACTTTTGCGGGAGATACTCCAAATAGGATAACACATGGAGCAGAAGCAATCATCCTAGTAAAAGTCAGCTCACTCATTCTGCGATTACAACACCTCAATGAAGAAGCCAACGGGATGTGGTTTGTGTAGTGAACTTGACCTCATCCACGAAGTCAAAGAGCAAGCACATCGATCACAAAGCCATCAATCATCAATCATTAGTGCATCGTTCAACACTACAATGACTGAGTTTGAACCCAGAGATTCAAATTAGAGACTTGGTCCTTACAAGAATCACATTCAATAAAGATACTAGATGTAGAAAGCTCGCCACTAATTAGGAAAGGGTCATACATTATTATCAGTAAAACTCACCCGGGGGCATACTAGTGGTAGAGCCAAGATCGGGGGGTTGTCTTAGAGCATCCTCGCAATGCCTAGGCACAAGGCCTTATGACTCGGTCTCCTCCATCTCATCCAAGGCACAAGGCCTTGGTGTCTTTTCAGAGTAAAACCAAGGTATGAAGGAAGCCCTTGCGAACCAATCTCCATTGACTCGTCCGAGGCACAAGGCATTGGTGTCTTTTCAGAAGTAAAACCAAGGCACACCATTGACTTGGAAAAAGCTTCCAAAGACCTTAGTATCTTTTTAGATTAAACCCCAATGCATGTACCAAAGTCCTTACTATTAGTTTACAAGAGTAAACCCAAGGCACAATGGAAAGCTCTTACAACTCATTAAGTCATCAGAGGCAACATAAAGACCTTAGGCATACAACAATAAGGTACTGATGCGACATAAACATGTACCAAAAAGGTTGTAAGTGCATAACCGTGTCAAGTTATAGTATAAAGATATCGATCCCACGAGGAAGGTGTTTTGTAGGAGAAAATATAAAATCAGTTCTTATGTTGTGTGTGTGACAAATAAGATTGATAAGTGAATGTGATTGTGAAGAGATTGAGAGAGTGAAAATGGTGTGTAAATAGGTGCAAAGTGTAAGTGAGAGTGGACTTGAAAAAGAATGAGTATGATCAATAAGGTGAGAAGGAAAAATGAATAAAATCAAGAACAAAATAAAAAAAATCAAGAATGAAGAACAAAATTCTAGAATAAAAAAAATACAAGAAATTAAGATGGTGGATTCAATTGTAGATATGGGTAATCTAAAATTAAACCCACTTCTTAGAAAAGGGTGATTTCCTAGAAGGTTCTAGTCTAAAGGCGAATCAACCAAAATAAAAATAAACAAAAAGAAAAACTAAACCCAAGAGGGTTCTAGCCTCAAGGTGAATAGTGTAAGAAATTAAAATCTAACTACAAAATAAATTACAAAATCTAAACTACAAAATAAAATTGTAAGAATTAAATGCAAGAAAATAAATCTATTCTATAAGCATGAAATAAATCTAAGGCAAGAGGGTTCTAGCCTCTTGGTTATTTAACAAGAAAATAAAATCTAACTACTAGCATAGAAATAAATCTAAACTAATAAGCAATAAAAAAAATAAAGGAGAAAAAAGGAAGAAATACAAACCTTCAAATAATTCTTCATCTTCATCTTCATTTTCATCATCCAACAAAGAGAAGAAGAGAAAAAATTTAAAGTGGTGAAAAAATTATTATTATTAATTACAACAAAAAGTTACAATTTTGAAAGGCCTTCTCAATTAAGAGTAGCTCTCCTCTCCAAAAGGAGTTACAAAAATTTTTTCACCTCTAACCCCTCACTCTCTACCCCTATTTATAGTAAACATCAGTGAATGAGAGCCATTGGATTAAAATCTTATCAAAAAA